AATGTGGTAGAATATTAACCTATAAAACTGATTTTGCCATTTAATGTTATTTAAAGTATTTTTATAGAAGATCATCAAGTGATTTGATTATTTAAAACATAATTACTAATTAAAATATATAAGAGCAATTTGTATCTAATCAACTTATTAACTCTTCAATATTTATATAATTCATAAATTTTGCAATCATCAAAAATTTAACTAACGGAAATGCTCTTAAAAATTAAAAGAAAACCGAACGAAGAATATTTTTAGGGCGAAATATTTAAAATATTTAATATTTTCAGCCTGATGATTGGGCGAGAAGGGAGGAAATGATCGCAAAAGATATCCTGGGAGAGAAATAAAAGAAGAAAGGATGGATAACGAAAGGACGCGGCTCGACACGGAACTGCACCCACCTCGATAAAATATGCACCACTCGATATCTATTATTACTATTACGTTCTCGTGACGGTGGTGCTGTTCGTGTCATAAAGTATGAACGAACGCAACAAGAGAAATTACTATCGCGACCCGAGGTAAGTAGTAATTTATGAGGAACAATAGGTCGTGAAAAAGAGCGGGTGCAACCGGTACGCTCGTTTACCTTCGCGCCACTAGGTCACACGGTATTCTCCTCTCTCCCGTGTCAGATCGATACCAGGAATTCTTTTCCATTACGCCACGAGATAATCGATTTTCTCTCCGATGGAAAGCGCCCGCCGGCGTGTATACCTATAAACCGCATCCCGCCAAGAAACAGAGAGAAAGCAGACAGGCAGAGAGACGGATTGCGGTTCGCGACACAAGGCTGCGGCTCGATTATTGAAATTACAAAACGGGAATAGCACGATCCGCAATAACGTGGCTTTAATGAACGTCGTTTCGTGGCATGCCTCGTGAAGGCAAACTTCTGCTACCAGTCTTTGGATATAATGGAACACCTGTACACACGGATTCTAGTTGGGATTTAAATTATCCGTCGTTTCGTTTATCTGTCTGCGCTTTGATTTCGTTTTAATTATTTAGGAAATACGTGAAATTGTAAAGGGTGAACAATTCGAACGGAGGAAAAATTCGAGATCAAATTTTTATACGATAGATGAATATTAAATGGGGGAAAAAAAGTGTATGTATCATGAAGGATCTTGATAATCTATGATAATAAATTTGGACTACAGTTTCGTTCGGAAATGTATACCTGTATGCAGGTAGGTGGAAAAAAATTATTGATTTCTGATCCTTTCGAGTTTTAAAATTTCCAGGGAGGAGTAATTCTAGATTTTATATAATAGAATGAGATAGCAATCCTGATCATAAAAAAGATTCATGATAATAACATAAAAAATAATTTTCAATATATCTTAACTAAAAAATTATTCTCTTAAAAGTTTTAATCCAATTTATTCCAACACGATTTTTATCGTTATTTCTATGTATGCAAAATTTTATTTCTCGAAAAAACAAATTTATCTCTAATTAATAAATAATCCTAAAAATATAACTCTTGAAATATTCTGTAAATGCAGATCGTGTTAAGAAAGTGAAAAGAGAATCTTGAAATCCCGTTTTTTTGATCCTTTCTTTCCAAGTGTTAAACTTTAAAACCCATTGTTCTGTGCATGATGAAAACATAAACAGTACAAAAAGAGCCGAGTAAAAATTGAATGGCAATTCCATTTTTACGTGCAATTTTATTTCCATTTTCAATCGAACTCGACAAGTCACGAAGGTAGAGGAAGAAAAAGAAAGAAAAGTTTCCACTCGAGAAATATAGAAACAATTGTTATCGAATCAAGTCTGATCGATTGGCTTCGGTTACGGTAAATAAATGATAAGCTTAATTCGTATCGGAGAGTTTCTTCGAGCACCTCCGAACTGAAGGCAGAACAAAAGCTATATTTCTGATTTACGATCGATTCCATCACGTGTGTATCATCTCGTGATTGCGATAGTCACGTTAACCCTTTACACTCGAAAGATAACTATCACTTGTCGATCGAATTTGTACAGAATAAATAATTGAGAGGCAAAATTGAAAAACGTATTTGTAAGAAATACATTATTTTTTAACAAATTTTTTAAAAATCTTTATAGAGGTAATATTTTCCAGAAATAAAACAATTATTAAAATTTTCCTCGGAGTAATGTACCGTTAATTATATAAGAATAATCTATCGTTGATTTAACATTTTATTTTACATATATATTATTATATACATATATATTAGTGTATATATATATACTAAATTATTTATACTATATACATATACATATACATATGCATCTGTAAATTTTTCGAATGTAAAGGATTAAAATTGACATATATAGAATGCAAACGAAAATACAAACAAACGATCGTGCGCAGAAATTACGATTGAAGATTGATCATGTAAAAATATCGATGAAAACGAAGGTTAATTTATATAAATTAACCAAAAAAAAATTAAAGAGATAAAAAATCGCTCAAATAAACAACTGATAAATCAACAAATATTCGACTAAATATGATGATATACATATTTCTTCTAATTAGAGATCTTTTACGAGGGTAGTTTAACCAATTACGTTTCCAGTTAATGTATTGTACGAATAAACAGAAGCAAAATTTGGATCAGCATAATTAACTCGTATCGTAGATATACTCGGATCGTAGATATTTGTATCCTTCAATATAGATATAATCGTTATAGAATTATTATTTATGGATGAAAGACACAGATAATGCAAAAAATATATTACATTGATAGTGAAAATTTCGAATTTTATATATTTCTTTTTAGTATTCTAATAATGAATAGAATGATAATAAATGTTAATAATGATCTACCATGAATGACAAAATTTTACATCAAATTTTTTTTAAATATCAAAATAAATTATCAATATTCTCTTTACTTTACAAAAATTTTCATATGTTTATTTATTTCCTATATATAATGTATATAAATATAAATTTTCAATTTAATAGAATCATAGTTAATGAAAATTTGTCAAATAAAAATTGTCTTGATATTAAAATCTTTAAAATTTTGATATTTATCCAATACTGCAATTTAGTCATAATTTCATGCCATAATTGGAATGCTGATAAAACTTATAAAATACTCATAAGATAGCGAATAAATAGTATACATAGTATATAATAATATACATATGCTATACAACATTTTGCTATATTCTCATGATGTTCGTGGAAAACACCATATTGTTTACGAGGTAACGAAGGGGAACAACGACGAAAAAACGTAATTATCGCGAAAACAAAGTGTTATTGGTAAGTGGTTCAACAGTTTCTCACGCAGGAAAGCTGATGCAACGCGTGTTTTCTACTCATGTGCATTGGCGAGTCAAAAAATGGCAATGCGGATTATAAAAGAGAAAAGATAAGAGGGTCAAGTGTCGGTGGTAGCATACAACAGTGAGGCAGTGACGTATAGAGTTATAACGTTATAGCAATGGCAAAATTGGGGCAGCGTCGCTGAAAACGCCGCTTCATAAATTTAAAGTGCGCGCGATATTAAGCTCTCGCGCGCATTAATATGAACCCTTCGACCGAGGCTCAAGAACAACGCTAACTGGCCGGCCATAGAAAGATAAACGCACACATGCATTCTGTTCCTGACCTTGTTTTCGAATTCCTCGCAGTTCCGGATATTAAACGATAGTTGTAGAACACGAAATGATTTTGCGAATCGAATGTACTTTGAAGTGTTTGCAAGATGAAAACAAGGTCAAAAATATACAATATCTATACAAACATAAAATACGAAATGGAAAAATAAAACTTTATTAATTCTAAATTTATCCCTAAGGCGGATTTTAATGATAAAGATATATCCTGTTTTATAGAAAAGGAACAGACATAAGAATATATATAAAATAAAAAAAATATAAGTTACTTTATAAGTAAAAATATAAGTTAATTTATATTAAATTTCTTTGTTGTCTTTTATTATCTGACACTCTGCATTGCAGTCAAAAATATATTACGAACTAATTGTATTTTAATTATATTTTAAAATTTGCATATACTAAAAGGCATATCGTGTACCCTGTATATATAATGTAAAGTGTTCATGTAGATATATGCTTGTATATCTAACATAATTATTTTCAATCACGATGTTTATTTAGGCAAGATCGAATGCATAGAAAGTGAACACGCGATAAACGTCCTAAAGAAAATAAACAATTGCATCGATAACTTGCATTAAGGAACCGATCCGATGTTATATGAAAGTAAAAGTGCCTATATTGCGTGCTCTCCAGCTACTTGTGAACCATAGTTATAAATACATTGTGAAGTGAATTTTATGAACTATTAAAGAAAATTGTCATCAATTACATTCCATTAACAAAAAAAGAAGAATTTTTATTTATGGATTCTTCGATATTATATACTTATTAAAAAATAAAGCGAATTTATGCATATTAGTTAAATAATGATTTAGAAAAACAAACCTATTGATCGACAAAATATAGAGAAAAATAAGATATTATTTTATTTCATTTTAATAGTTTTACGATATATTCAACCTTCCATTTTATTTGAATTGTATCTTTGGTAACACAAATTAAATATATATTTATGATCGAATGTTTCAAACTCGTTTAAACAACTTATAACTAACTTCAATCCGTTAACCGAAAAATATAACCAATCAAAAACGATATTCGATCTTCATTTTATCGATATATCGCTGTCAGCCAATTAAGATTCGTTTCATTATGGTTCATTTTACCGCGTTTTGAATTCCATTAATTTGAATAAAGTATTTCGCATAAATAGCTATTGTAGCATTGCACAGATTACAAAAATAAATTTGAAACCATGCTTATCTCTTCTAAATCGCGAAAATAAGAGTAAGCATTCGATACTTTCTAACTAGATATATTAATATCTGGAATTTCATTGGCTCCAAAACGCGACATATCAGCTAGCCGGTAGTGATCATACACGACAAAAGACGAACTAGGAACGTCATGTAGTCATAAATGAAATACAATAGACTCACCTCTTCAGCAAACTCGAAATCCCCATCAAATTTTCGCTTACACCTCGCCTCGGTGACTAGAACTAGCAGCACCGTGGCTACGAACATCCAGGAAAATCGCATGGTTCTTGTTTCCGCGGGAGAACACCGTCCACCGTGAACTGACGAAATGAGATGTCGCGCAAATTCCTGCAAACACGTGCACCGTCTCGATTCAAAAACTATGAACAAAAGATTTCCGCGAATGATGACAGCAAAACGATGAAAAGGCGCGCACGTCAACTTCGACACGTTCGTTTTCCCGTTTTCCACAAAGCGGAAGCGTTCAGTTCGACGGTCGAACGAGTTGTGACTGCGCGAACAGAGTCGAGGCGACGCCGCACTACCACAGACGCGTAGCCGCCTATTGGTCGGATTCCGGCGGATGAAGGGAAGGGACGGTGGGGGCTGCAGGAGGATAGCTATATAAACCGGACTACCCTTCTCTTTCTGTTCCTTTCCCATGGACTACGTACCTCGATGACTCTCCGGTAGCAAGATTCGCGCGAGCGCGTAGTATACTGCGCCAGTCAATACCTCCACCTGCTCTCGGTTCACCTAGCTGGTGTTGCCAGTGAGTTGACGAGAAAAAAGGGCGCGGGGAATTCGGCAGGAGGGCACTAAGAAGGAATCCAGTTTCGCATCAAATATTCGCTCAGAACTAACCTGGCAAGATTCTTTTTTTTCGTATCATTCTTTTTTTACTTCTGTACTTTTTCGAACTCACATCAAATTAGAAGTTTTTTGACAGATGATTTTAAGCTCGTCACAAATCGATGCTTCATCTCGTTTTATTACAATCAATGATGTTGCAGTGTATTTCTATGGAAAGAAAAAACTTGTTAAATTTATTAAACATAATCATAATTAAAAAATATCATAATAAGAAACTAAGAATTATTGTTATTTAGAAATATAGACATAACAAAAAGATAGACATAAAATATAGAATATATAACACCTAAAGTATTATATAAAATAATGTGGTTGGTACATGTTTTTTTTTTCGATCTAGAATTAAGTTCCATAATTTAATTGAAAATGAATTTCACTATTTCTTTATTTTTTAGACTAATGTATTAAAATAGTTATTATAAATAATTAAAAAGAAAATTTGAATTAACGATTATTAACAATTATATAAAAGGATGTTTATTACGTACATGTAATATAAATTATTACGTACATATAACTTTTATGCAAATTTATGGAAAAAATGATGGGAATAAATTGAAATAATAGAAATACAAAATCGAATAATCAATCAGAAAACGATTATTAGAATATTCATAAACATCCTCAAGCATTTAAAAAAAAATCTACAACGAATTTTCTCAAAAAACAATATAAGCTCAATCATAAAATTAAATCGTTACTGTTATCAAGTTTTTAAGGAAAATTAATGTTATCACGATGTGATTCTCAAATAATGGCACAATAGAATGTATCTATGTATAGTATACTTTTAGAACTTACGTTCAAGATTTTAGTAGCATAGGATATAAGTGGCAGGTACTTTCTAGCATTCCTTTAAGTTTCATCCTTTCTTTGAAGGTACTTAAAGACATAAAAGCAGACCTGTATTTCGAGTGGAAAGTTGTCATGGCAATTTATCTTACTATTTTCTTACTGTACAACCTGCACTATATCTTAACCCCCACCTTTTCCTCATCGAGCTATTTTCCTCGGGTAGAGACATTTCCCATGGGAGTAGAAACTAGAAAGACAACGTCACGTAGATATCTTCTTTACAAAATAGATCACATCACCGAGAAAGACAAAAGGAAAAATATTATTAAACTAACGCAATCACTATTTCATATTTATTAAATATTGTCTCTTTTGCTTTTTAACTTTCTTACAATATTATTTATTAATTACAACTTGATAAAGCAAAATCGCAAAATTAAAATATGATATACGTATATATATTGACTATTTATGAGATAATGAGATTCACTATTTTTCTATCAAAATTTTAAATAATCATAATTTTTTGATTATTACAAAAATGTTATTAAAATATATTAATAATTTAAATTTAATTATTAGCTAATTAATCATCTATTTTTAAATTTTTTTAAATATTTCAAAGTAAATAATATAAATTTTCACAATATAATTTTTTTTACATATTTATTTTTATAATTTTATAATTATATTTTTAATAATATCTTATTATATTATTTTTTAAATATAAAATTATCAAAAATGAATAATAAAAATACAGGATTTAAAATCTTTAATGAAATTACAAACTAATTTATTGTTACATTATATCTATAATGTAAGGAAAATAAAAATAAATCTATTTATCTAGAATATTCTATTCTTGGATACTGATGGAAAGCTGCATCACAACCTTATAAGAGTATATGTAATTTCTATTATATATTATTATTTGTGTTCATGTACGTACAGTACAGTAACAAGATAATTTGATACATAGTTAAAAAATACTTAGAAAACTTTGTACATACTTTCCAATTCGATAGTTATAAATATATTAAAATAATAAATAATAATAAGATACATAAAGTTTAGTTTTAATAATTGAATAAGTATTGCTTGTTTCGGTACTGCAAGCACATGCTATATCATTTAAATATAATCTATAACTATTAAATGTATTAAAATTTATGCAGCAGTATTCCATTATGTGCCCTAAAAACAAGCAAGTGTGTGCACACATCAAAGGATGCATTGATATGAGAATATCCCTTTATTCTCATTTAAGATGCACGTAATGCCATTTATTGACTGAAATCAAATATAAAAATTTAAGTAATTAATATTAAAATTTTAAAATAATTATTTAATGCCATAGAAAAAATATATACAACAAATAATAATATAGATAGAATTAATTAATAATATTTTTAATATCTTGAGTTATATATTTATAATTTATGTTGCAATAATTGAATGAAGTGAAATTTATTAACTGTAAATAAATATTATTAATGTTATATGTTATTTAAATTTGATTAATTTAAATATAAATGAATATTGATATAAATGAATATTTCTAACTTACCAATAGGATCTACTGATTGAGGTTCTGATAGTTCTGCAGCTTTTTCCAATACTTCTTCAGCAGTTTCTATAGTAGTTTTAAATGGACTGCCTGATATAGTTGTGTTAGTACTGTAAATAAAATTTGTATTTGTAATTTAATTTTAAATACATTTTTTGAATGAAATATTTGAAGAATTTACAAACCATGCAATTCCTCCTGCAGGAGCTTCTCGTTTAATAAGATTTTGCCAATGCTGATGTACTTCTTCCACAATATGTAAAGCAAAATCTCTCGATTTTGCTTCACCATTGAATGCAAATTGATTCTCTGGTTTACCATCTGGTATTTTATAAATCTTGAACCATTCAATAGTAGCTTTCATTAATCCTGGATAATGTTTTTCAATGTCAGATACATCTATAAAATATATTATAAATTTTGAGATTACATATAATTGATAATCAAGTATCATTATCAGAAATAATCCTTACCATTCATTTGTTCTGCCAAGGGATCATTGACATCAATAACAATAATCTTCCAATCAGTTTCACCTAAAATCAATAAAGATAAGATAATACAATGAGTAATTCTTAAATATTCAATATTATTTATTCATTCAATATTACATACCTTCATCAATGAGTGCAACACAACCTAAAACTTTTACTTTTAAGATTTCTCCTCTTTTTGCAACCTAATAATAAATATTTTATTTATTAATTTAATAAATATTTTATTAAATAACTAAATAACTAAATAATTTTTTAAAATGTTCTTACCTTGTATCCTATTTCAAGGACATCAATGGGATCATTGTCTCCTTTGCATCCAGTGGCTTCATCTAAAACTTCAGGATTTTCCCATGTCTATTTATAAGAAATATGTGCATATAAATATCTCATCTTACAAATATATTTAACAAAATATTTAAATACAAAAAAATATTAATTAATTAAATAATATAATATAAAATAAATATAAAATAAAATAGAAAAAAAAATTAATCACTTTACAATAAATAAAATAAATACAATAAATAAAAATAGTATAGATAATAATAGCCTTGAACTGAGAGCTTACATAAGCTTTGATAAGATTGTGTTCACACACTTTAGCAAAACATGTATGTATAGAAAAATGTATGTGCATGTTTGATCCATGCAATCATTCATTTTCTTCAATGAATTAATACTAATGAAATTGATGACATCATTCTATAAATGTGACATATCACAAAAGAGGAAATATATTATTTTTTGCTGATCACATTATAAATATAAATTCTTTTATGTTTTAATTTTTTTTTTTTTTTGATATTGATAATATTTTCTTTATATTGATAAATCTATTGCTAATAATTTTATTAAAATACCTGTGGCAATGCACCATAATTCCATATATATCCATGATGAGGAAAACAATTAGCAACATATCTTAATTTGCCTTTTTTAACATCTTGTTTAATAGGATTTAAAGTTTCTTTAAGATTAATCTCCATCTTTGCATTTGTCCATCTTGGTATTTCAACAACCATATTTAATATTTTATTACTTTCATCAGCATAAAGTGGAATGTCATGCATGGGTGAAATTGGGCCAACATCATTTCCTATAACAATTAGCTTATTCATTAAAGAATTATATGAATAATTTTTCTATAAATTAATATTTTTATAAAATATATAAAAATATAATAGAACAAAAAATATTTGAAAATATTTTTAAAACAAAATCATTGATAATGTAAATAAAAAGTAATTAAAAAGATATTAGAATAATCTGAATTGATACTAAAATATAATTAATTTAATGAGATTTTAATAAAGAAATTAATTAGTAAGATAATAAAAGACAATGAAAAATAAAGCAATAAAGATTAAAAAAAATGAAAAAACAATCGATTATAAACTATTTGAAAAAAAGATGAAATGAAAGTAAGCATATGTCTATCAAAAATAATTTTCAAATAAATTATTAATAATAATTAGAATATTGATTTAAAATTAAAAATTAAATTAATATTCGTAAAAATAGATATAAATTACGAATATATATAAGAAATAGAAAATTTTTTATAATATTAAAAGAATTCAAATCCTTTCACCAAAACTATGTCACGTTATAAAACTCTTATTAAAATAAAAAAATTTTAATTATAAACATATGAATTTATTTTAAATATATTAATAAATATATTTATTATTAAATATAGTTTTCATATATTAAAAAATATAAAATATTTGCAGAAAAAGCAAAACTTACAAAAAAAATTTATCCCTAATTTAACATACGAAAAAATTTGATTCTAATTTTTAAATTAAGAACGATACAAAATGAAAAAATCATGTTAAAAAACATAAGGTCACATAATAATATGTTCAAAAATTTTAATGAAGTCTCTGATGACGACATGCTAGTTCAATCGTTAAAAAAGTCATGATATGGGAACATTGATTCAATTTTAAGGTTATGTTATTAGATACTTACTGAAATAAATTCTATAATCAGTGCTATTTAGTGCACCCCTTTCGATAGTTGTATATGACATTTTTTTTGCGTATTTTTCAAACACAGAACACGATCGTGATTTAATAAGACTACCGGTTACTGTTAATTTCAGCGGATTGGCTAATTTATTTAAACCACGGCAACGTAACACGTGCAGCGTTAATACCGTCATCCTGACATCTAACGATGAAATTACATAGTAAAATTTTGTTATAACGTGACAAGAAATGAAGTTTTGATAACATATCGCTTATAATAATTACTCATTGATATACATCCAAGAAATTAATCAAACAAGATAAATGTATTAGTAAGTATATATATTTATTGAATGAATTGATGCTTCTGTTGTAATGTATATGCAAAGAATTAATAAAATATAGGCAATCAATTTTATTATTTTATTTATTTTTACAGAAAAATACCGTATATCGTTTTATTCAAAATTATCGGTAATATGTTGGATAACATTATAGTTAAATATTTTTTTTGTAAAATTTGTGTTTTAATTTTTGAATCATCAAAAATTCTTATAATTATTTATGTGAAAACACTATTTTCAAAATTTTAATCAAAATATGACAAATTTTCGGAAATTTCAATATAATTAATGATTTTATTAATAATTATAAATAATATAAATATAAATAATAATTAACAAATTATTATTTATAAAATAATAATAAAATAATAAAAAAATTAAGTTTTTTGATAAAAAATAAAGAGGAAAAATAAATTAACGAATTAGTGCATTACATTAATAAATTATAAAATTAATAATAGAATATTGAAAATTATAACATTTAAATAATTCATATTAAAATATTTCTTTGATATTAATAACTATCTACATCATTATATATGGTTATTTTTTAAACTTAATCTTAATATGTTAATCTTAATATGTCTCACTTATAGTAATGGAGAAAAATAATGATAACATTTTATAAAATTTTGTATTATATATTTTGAAATATCGATCTTTGAACTCAATAGAAGAAATCAAATTAGAGTTTCTAGTTATAATCTAAATTACATACATTGATTCTTCTAAATCAAACGATTTTTTTCATAAATGAGAAACAGATTAGACGTGACATCTTACGGAATTTTTATTATATGTTCTAACATATCGATTTCAATCGATAAATATATATAAATATATTAAATTATAAATAATATGCATAATAATATTTTTATAATAAATGATAGTAATAATAAAAATATTTCGTTAAAATTTATTTTTAATCCTCATTTAATAAAAATAATTTTTTTTTAATATACATAATATTATGGAACTATTATTTTAATTATTTGTTTCATATAGTTTCATATCATGTATAAATATAATTATGTATAAAGTATGTGTAATATATATTTATATACTACAAGATTCTAACAGAACGAAATATTTTTTTTATTTGTAATTTTATATTAAAATTTAATTTTAATTTCACTTATTACTAATGCAATGTTGTTTTGAATCGAATCGATAATATTAAAAATAATACTAAAATGATAAGGACATTCAATATTGCTTCTTTATTTCATTCATAAATAAAAAAATATATTAAACGTTAGATCTATTCTATATGATAATATTCTATATATTTCTTATTTAATTTTGATACATCGATATAATTTACATTCAATCACTGCAAGATACAAAATATGATTTATTTTCTTAAGCTATTGATTTTATTTATTGTATTTTAATCAAATAACAATACTTTTGATATATTTAAAAAATTAATATTCTTCCTCATCTTCTGTATTAGTTGCATCTTCTTGAACTTCACGATAATCTAATTCCAAAGCAGCTAAATCTTCTCGTGCTTCTGCAAATTCACCTTCCTCCATGCCTTCACCAACAAACCTATAGTTTAGAATAATTTATTTTATTTATATATATATTTTTATGTTTTAATTTATATATATATTTTTATAAATTTAAATTTATATAAAAAAAATTATAAATATTAATTTACCAATGAACAAATGCTCGTTTAGCGTACATTAAATCAAATTTATTATCGATTCTAGCCCATGCTTCAATTATTGCAGTAGTATTACAAAGACAACATACAGCTCTTTCTACTTTTGCAAGATCACCTCCTGGTACTACAGTAGGTGGTTGATAATTTATTCCTACCTATATAAGAAATTAAATTTTTTATTTGAATAAAATTTGATTAAAAATCAATCTTTATAGAAATTAATGTTTTATAAATAATTTAAGATATTTTTATTTTATTTTTTTTTTATAATTATATTTTATATTATTTATATTCTAATTTATATATTTTAAATTATTATCATATTATTATCATATTATTATCATATTATCATATTCTATTAATTAATTAGCTATTATTATATTTTAAATTTTAAATTCATATTCTATTTTTATCTTATCAGACAAACCTTAAAACCAGTCGGACACCATTCAACAAATTGAACATGTTTTTGCCTTTTAATTGTTGCAATTGCTGCATTTACATCTTTAGGAACAACATCTCCTCTATAAAGCATGCATACCGCCATATATTTACCTCTACGCGGATCACAATTCACCATTTGATGATTTGGTTCAAAACAGGAATTCGTTATTTCCGCTACTGTAATTCTTTCATGACCAGCTTTTTCAGCTGATATAACAGGAGCATAAGTTGCCTATACAACAATTTTATCATATTTTATTAAAACATTTGTAAATATAAAATTTGAACATTTATAAGTATGATAACATTATTACATAAATATGACATTTCAAATTAAATTATTAACTTACAAGAGGAAAATGTATACGTGGATATGGTACTAAATTTGTTTGAAATTCAGTAAGATCAACGTTAAGAGCTCCATCAAATCGTAAACTTGCTGTTATAGATGAAACAATTTGTCCAATTAAACGGTTCAAATTAGTGTATGTTGGTCTATCAATGCTTAAGTTTCTTCTACATAATTCATAAATGGCCTGAAAAACGTTACGAATCATTATAATAAGTTGATGCAAAAAATGAAATTATTATGATTCTCCTCTTATATATATATACAAAAAAATGAAACTTTAATTTATTTTTAGAACATATATATTTTTGTATTTTTTTTAGAGAATTAAGAGAATTAAAAAAATATAATTTGAGAAGAGATACGCAAAATTTTTCAAGTAAATATTATTTACGAAATATATTAAGAATTACATTCTTGTAATTACATTATTGTATTTTATATGAAATTGTAACTTAGAGTAGAAATTATAATATAATTTTAAACTTAAGCTATATATAACTGTAAATTACTATAAAGATATTGAATAACATTACATACTTGATTGTCAACTATAAAGGCCACTTCACAATGTTCTAATGTTGGATGTGTATAAAGAATCGCATTATATGGTTCTACAACAGCAGTTGATACCTGACAAATATTCATGTAGTATATAATTATTAATTACATTTACTTATATATTATATGCTCTTTACCTGAGGTGCAGGATAAATGCTAAAAGTCAGTTTACTTTTTTTAGGATAATCGACGGATAATCTTTCCATAAGTAAACTCGAAAAACCTGAACCTGTACCTCCCCCGAACGAGTGAAAAATTAAGAAACCTTGCAAACCCCTGCATCGTTCAGTAAGTCTACGAATTCGATCTAAAGTGAGATCTATAATTTCTTTTCCTAAAAATATATATTTATCAATTATCAGAAGAATAATGAAATAAAATTTAATTTTCTGTTAATAAAACATTGTAATATACCTATTGTATAATGACCACGAGCATAATTATTTGCGGCATCTTCTTTTCCTGTGATTAATTGTTCCGGATGAAATAGTTGTCTATATGTGCCGGTACGAACTTCATCTGAAGTTTTATATGAAAAATTTATATAATTTTAATTTTACAATAATATTATTTGTTAATCAAATAAAAATCGAATTTTTTAGTTTTTAACAAAACTGAAAATTAAAACTTTTCGATTAATAACTTGCCTACTACTGTTGGTTCAAGATCGACAAAAACAGCTCTTGGAACATGTTTTCCTGAATCTGTTTCAGAAAAAAATGTGTTGAAAGAATCATCCCCATAACCAACAGTGGTATCACTGGGCATTTGCCCATTAGGTTGAATTCCATGTTCCAAGCAATATAATTCCCAGCACGCATTACCCATTTGAACACCAGCCTGTCCAATATGAATAGATATGCATTCCCGCTGTAATAATATAATATATTTAATTATATTTAATATTATTATCAATTAACAATTGCTTTCAATCGAAAAAAAATAAAAAATGTACTAATTTAAATTTTTAAAGAGATTAAAGGTATTTTTAAGTGTTAATAATCAAGAAAAATTAATTATAAACTATTAATTTTGTCTAAAATTTGAATATCATACCTTTTTCGCCATTTTTTTCATAGAATATTCTTTACAATTAATAATTAGTAATTTTATTTAAATAATTATGTTTAATAAAAAATAAAAAAGACGAAAAAATGTTTAAAAATAACATTTAAATGTATTTTAGAATTATCTATGCCATATATCCCCTTTATTTTTTTTATTTTATTGTAGATTAATGAAATATTTATCTTATTATAAATTATTTATTTGTGTATAAATGTTTTTTTTCTTATTAAACATTTCGAATAAATTATATAAGTTCTTTTTCTTCAAAAACATAAAGAAATACCTTTTATTATTAAAAATATATGAAATAATATTAAATCGAATTTTTCCAATCGAATCATTTAAATAATTTAATTCATTTAAATATTGAATCACTTATTGTTAAATTTAACGTTTTTAAAACTACTTCAGTTAATGCACTCCACACAATGTGATTACGAACTGATATGTTAAAATTCTATCGACATAAAGTAATTTTATATCTGTCAGTAAATTACAGCTTTTTTACCTTGACCTATTGTATCATCATTTATTAATCATGATCTAAAAAAGAAAGTCACATCGTTGTAAAGATAGATTCATCGCTGCTTTGCACATAAAACATAGATCATATACACTTCCGGAATGCATATATTTTACATTCTCTATATCATGCTAAAAATCGATTTTTATAGGTTGACATATAGTAACCATAGCAGCTTAAATCGAATATCGTTTTATGCGTGATACAATTTTGCAATTTTGCAAATAGATGATCTTTGCACGAAAAAAAAAATGATTGATAATTCGATTTCCTCTTTATATATATATATATATATATATATATATATATATATAAAGAGAGAGACAAATTGTGTACAATTATAAATATATTTATTAAATACAAATTAAACAATTTAAAACAATTAATTTTAAAATTATTTATTTCAATTATATAAGTATTTAAAAAGATTAAATATTTATACATAATAACATAATATTTAACATAATAATTTATGTTAAAATATCATTGTCAAATAAGTAATTGCGTTTCTTTCATTTTGCAATATAAATATTTTGTAATGTTTTTTTTAAACATATAATAGCAAATCTAATGATTTTATATAAAATTATTTTAAAATTGTGAAATATTAATTATAATGAAGTATTAATTATAGTTCAATTATTAATATTTTAAGTATATATTTTTTGAAAACAACAATAAATATTATTATTTATATAATGCATAATATAATAATAATGCATAATTTATGCTTATATAATGCATAAATTTGAATTTATATTCAAATTAGAAGGTTTAAATATAAATTAAAATATTATTTATTTATTATATTTTGTATAATAGTAAAAATTTTTCATTTCTTTGAAATATTTTTCCAGTTATAATATTCGTTGTATTCATGTTTCTATCTTAACTTGGGAAACTTTTGTTTAGGATTTTCTATTGACAGTTTTCTAATCGGTCGATTAAACTAGAAAGTATATATAAAAGAAAGTATGATACATTATAATTATACAATACCTTGGCTATAGACAATATTAATATTGCATAGTTTTGCATTATAATTTGCTAATTGTCGTAAAAATTTATAATTGTAATTTGGAAATCTAATCTTTAGTAATAATACTATATTATTCAGTTTAATCCATTCTGATCATATTATAAAAATTTTTTATAAATGTTTATAAAACAATAGTAAATAACTTTTTAAGTATAATTTTTTATAAATAAAATAATTTTTATTATAATTAATATTATAATTATGATTTTCATATTTTTAATATTAAATAATAATGCAATATATAATAAATAAAATATTTACCATTATTAATAATATAAATTCTCAAAGATGAAAGATCGTGTCAGGACAAACCACAATCCGACTACTGTCTGACTCAATGAATAGTCAGATCACTGTGATACGCCATATTATTATTTCTAGGTATATAATATCTGTTTTAAGTATCATAGGTGACAAAGTTAATACTATAGTACTCAGAATACTCGGTTAAAACATAAATATCACTAAAATCGTTCTTAGATAAATTTTATTTTACTTGCTAGATACTAAATAAAGAAAATGGAAAATTGATTAAAATTTATTTACAAATTTACTTATTTCATATTCATATTTAAAAATGTTATATATTAATAATATATAACAATTAATCAATTACTTACTTACTATTATAAACAAATGAATGTATTTCTATAAATATAAGGAAATGAATAATAAATTTGATTAAATTTATCATTAAAATATTTATTGTAATAATAAAAATTATAAAACGAAATATTATAAAAATATATATATGTAAATATTTAAATATGTAAATATATTTTATAATTATTAGTCACATTTCAAAGTTAAGATTGTTCCTTTTTAAGTCCTTTTGGACTAGAAAGTGTAATTAATTGTACTCTTCGAGGAGTTTTACTAGGGATTATTAATGGTACCTCTGATTTTTGAGATATATTTACTTTAACTTCATTAGTACTTTCTTCATTATAAACTAATTTAATATCTTCAGTCTCTTCAATTTCCATTTTATTATCTAAGTCTGTTTTTTGTTTAATTGTGTGATTTAATAATTTATTATTTTCATTTATGATATTTTGTGAATTTTCATTGAGAATTTTTTTTATTTCATGTTTTATGTCAATATCTATAGCACTATTATCTATATCAGCAGTGGCTGCAAGTTTTTCAGATACATTTTTAATATTAAAACTTGATGTTGTAAATTGTTTAAAATTATTATTAATACTATCAGATTTTGTTGGAATATCACTTTGTTTTTTATATTCTTGACCTAATTCACCTTTTTGAAAATGTATTATAGAACAATAACCATCTGTTGAAGATGCAATTAAAATTCTACCATCATCTGACCTAAAAATGATAAATAAATAAATTTTTTTTTCATTTAATAATATTAAATAATCATTTCTTACCATGCAACATCAGTTAATCTAGTATAATGAATATTTGATATTACAGCAATTGGTGAAATTTGTTGAGTATCATATATCATTATTGAGTGCTGTGTTGCAACAGCAAATACCATTCGATAAGGCAAAGCTATCATTGGTGTTGGACCATCGTTTTGTAATTCAAAATAAAGTGGACAACATCGAACTGCAATAGTACATTCATCTAAAGAAGGTAGAAGTACAAGAGGTCTGAAAATAAAATTATTATAAATTATTATAAAATATATTGTGTTATATATTATATTATATATCAATAAACTTACTCTTTTAAATTATATCTTGAAAAAATTAAAGTTGTATTAGATACCCTTTCTGATGTTTCTATAGGCTCAATTATACCAGAAGGTACAATAAGTAATAATCCATCTATAGAAAATGTTAATCTTCTAAAGAATGACTTAAAAGTATCATCATAAAATAAGCGTACTATTTTATCTTTTATTGGATGATTTGTTCGAGTTGGAATTTTTGTCTTATATACCCGTTGTACTGTTTTTTTAGTATTTATATCAATTAAACGGCATATTCTATAAATGTATAACTTGGTTATATATAAATATGTTAAAGATAACAAAAATATTATTAAAATTGAATACCTATCTGTACTTATTGTACATATATATTGATTACAAGGATCCCATGAAACACCTTGTACAAAACCTTTATGATCAGATAATATTGCTACAGAACGTCCTTTGTGAATATCCCATAAAATGGCTGTATTATCTACAGATCCAGAAACTAACATATTAGAATTTGGAGACCAACTGATGTCATAGACATCCTCAAGATGTCCTCTTAATACTTTCCAAGAAATCCATTGTTCTTTATCTTTAGTTTCTTCAGAAGTAATAAAAAATTCGCAATCCTCCTTTTGTTTCCATAAAACTATGGTTGATTCTATAAAATATATTTTAATTTACTTTTTTTAATTTTTTTTTAATCTTTCAATATATTTTAATATATTTTTTGCTAACCATCATCTCCTGAAGCTAAAATACTTTTTGATGGTGAAAATCGCACTACATTTACTGCCCTTTGATGCCGTTCTAAATCAGCAACGCACTTCACAATAGCACCTCCATTTTCATTCATTGTTAAATGCCATATCTGATTTAAAAAAATAATTAAAAATCATATTCACATATTATATTTAAATGATAAATTATTTGTATAATATTACCAAAATATGTGAATCAGCACCTCCGGTTACAACTCGCCAAAAAATTTCATCTTTTGATGTTTTATAAATTCCATTTTGTATATCAATACTCAAAACTGGATCACGATTATGCCATGAAATTTCAGGCGTTGTACACCACATAGTTTTAATTTAGAAATGTGATATAATAATATAAAAAATTATATTAAGATAATAAAAAAGATAAATAAAAGTTGCATTTAACCCGTTACAAGATATTACATTATTCCCGCCGGAACATGTGATTTTTTAAAATCCAATCTTAATTAGCTGTTTACTTTTCTCTAGTTAAATATCACTAGTGGTAATAGAATGAGAAAAATTAAAAACATTTATTGAAAAAAATTTATATAAAAAATTGAATATAAATAAATTTATTTTATATTTTTCTGAAAATAATATTTCAAATGATTATAAATTATTTATGTTACAAAAAATTAATTGATATATTATATATGCAAGAAAGATTAATAAATTTAGTATTATAAAAGATTATAAAAATATTTCATTGTACATATTTTAAATTATTTGATTAGATAAAAATTTGAAAAATTTAAGTTAAGTAAACGATTATGAAATATATTGTACATTGTACATTGTACATCCGGTAGTATTAATATATATGTGTCTCCCTCTGAAGACTCAAAGAGAATATATGGAAAACATGAACACAAAAATGGTGGGTACTGAAAATGATAATCACGATCGTGAGGAAATAGAGATCAAAGAAAATATGGATAACAATCGACAAAATGGAGAAGTAATTTCTACAGAAAACAACGAGGAGAGAGATGTGTGTTAATTATCTTATATTTTCTTATTTTATAATTCATTTGAAAATACTTATCACATTTTATTAAAATTAATAGGTTTAATTTCACATATATTTCATGTGTTCAAATTTTTTAAAAATTATATTCTAATGTAATATATAATTTAAAAAAATTTATACATTTAGAATATAAAATGATTGTTTAGTAATATATTAAATGAAATGTAAATAGTTGTTGCTACCTGTTTCATTTGAAAATAATATCGTAAATATTAAGTGAAATTTAATCTTTCCGAAATATTTTATTATAAAAATTGTTTTTTTAATTCATATATAGGTAAATGCAGATACTGATGAACAAAGGAAAAAATATCAACGAACGCATCTAGAATCATTTTTTGCTATAACAAAATCATTAATTATACGTGCCCTTATTATTTATTGTATTAGTCATCTATTTAGAAGACTTCACACTGACAATTCTCAGTTTTCTGGCATTGTTAATCCAGCACAATCTTTACAAACTATAAATATATTTGAAAATGGAACTCTATTTGATTTACATGTTTATTTATCAGAATCAGAAAATTTTAAAGAATTTGATGATCCAAGAACATTAATATGGTTAGAACAAGGATTAATATATGGAGATTGGTATAGTGGACCATTTAAAGATGGTTCAAAAGTTAAGAATTATAAATTTATTCCATCTGATCAATTAAAAAATAATGGATCTATATATCTTCATGTATATATTACAAAAACTGGAAAATCTCCAAATCCTAAAAGTGGAAAAAATATTTATGCAGGAAATTATATGTCAAATTCTACAAAAATGTTAAATAAATTTAAGAAAGTTAGATATCAAAAAAAGCATAATTTGTTAACTGGTGAAACTACTGCAAGTAAAGAAGAAATTGAGGTATGATTGTATTCTATTATCAAATCATTAAATAAATATATTTTATATATATTAAATTAAAGATATTAAATATTCATTTCAGAAAGCTGAATTAATGAATCAGGAATATATATCACACTGGCATCCAAATTTAACTATTAATTTAGTAACAGATCATACTAATTGGGTATATGGTCAAGTGTCACCACCTTTAGATACATGTAAGTTTTTTTTTAATATTTTAAATTTTTATTTATGTTTAAGATAAATATTTTTTAACAGATATTCATTTTTTACCTGGTGAGAAATTTTATAAACCTGTAATATATATGAATGATTTTTGGAATATGCAAAGAGACTATCAACCTTTAAATGATACTGTAAAAGAGCTTGAACTTAAATTAACTTATCAACCACTTTCATTATTTAAATGGCAAATTTATGCAGCTCAAACAATGAGGAATAAATGGACATCCTCACTTATGGGTATATTATGTCAGCAATAAAATTAATTATAATGAAAAATAGAATTTTAATAATATTTTTATCTAGGAGATTCATCAGATGAAGATGAAAATGATCAAGATACTTTGAAGGAAACATTATTAGAAACAAATCCCTATTTATTGGGTTTAACTATAATTGTATCAGTATTACATAGTGTATTTGAATTTTTGGCATTTAAAAATGGTAAGATTAAAAATAAATAATTTAATTTTTGTAAATAGATATGGTTAACTATTTAAATTGGTAATTAAATAATAGATATATTATTGATAAATTCATTAACAAACAAAATCAATTAAAAAATTTAAAAATTTATGTATAAAATTTATATATAGTATAACTTAAAAAATAACTTAAGAAATTGCAAAATTATATTCTTATTATAAAATTTTTTGAATTTTTAACATATAATTTAATATAATTTTGCATCCATTTAAGAAAATTAATATTCATAATATGTATTTATATACAATTAGAAATATTATAAATAATTTATAATATAATTTTTATATGTTTTTGCAGATATACAGTTTTGGAATAATCGTAATTCATTAGAAGGTCTATCAGTTCGATCTGTATTTTTCAATGTTTTTCAATCTTTGATTGTTTTATTGTATGTTCTTGATAATGAAACAAATACAGTCGTTCGGATTAGTTGCGCAATAGGTTTATGCATTGAAGTATGGAAAATTAATAAAGTTGTAAATATTACTGTTGATAAAAATTCAAAAATATTTGGTATTTTTCCAAAAATAAGTTTTCATGATAAAGGATCATACGTAGAATCTTCCACAAAAGAATACGATAGACTTGCTTTTAAATATTTGTCATGGACTCTTTATCCTCTTTTAGGAGGATATGCTATTTATTCGTTGATGTATTTAGAACATAAAGGATGGTATTCTTGGGTTCTTAGTATGCTTTATGGATTTTTACTAACATTTGGATTTATTATGATGACACCACAATTATTTATTAATTATAAGTTAAAAAGTGTAGCACATCTTCCATGGCGCATGATGTCTTACAAGTTTCTAAATACGTTTATCGATGACATCTTTGCATTTGTGATAAAAATGCCAACATTATATAGAATTGGTTGCTTCCGAGATGATATTGTTTTCTTTATATTTTTATATCAAAGATGGATATATAAAACAGATCATACTAGAGTAAATGAATTTGGTTTTTCTGGTGAAATGGAAGCTAAAATAACTAAGGATAAAAAACAAGAATTTATTAAAGATCGTGCAAAAAATGAAGCAAATAAAAAAAACGAATAATGTTTGGTACATAATGTTTTAGCATTAATAATATTATACAAACTTTATCTTAAATTAATAAATTTATTAGTACCAAAGGATATATATCTATACGCATTAATAAGTACCTTTATCAGTTTGATATAACTACACGTGTATGTATATATATTCTTCTGGTTTTCATCTAGCCAATTAAAAAGCCTCGCAAAGACATTGATATGCTTGAATAAGAATTTTGATGTCCATTGCATTTGGCAGAATATCGGAACAAGATTTAGTATAATTGTAAAGAATAATATAAGTATATATATACTATCTTTAAGAAACAATTGTTATTATGCTTTGATTTAGATTTATATTTACGTTTCATTTATATTTCAATGCTTTGTAGTAATTGTTATTATTTGATATCATGTCAAGGTATATAAAGTTTATTTGAATGTTTAAAAAATAACTCGAATTGCGAATTATATGTTTACACATGTATATGAAATGACCTGGATTACATATATATGCATGCAAATATTTTAATGAATAATTTGAAAAATAAGAAATGAAAAATAAGAAATAATATTATATATTTTGCATATATATATCATATTCATATATAATGAATAATATAATTCTTGTATCAATATTTTAAGTTTATTGTTTCTTATGTATGAATAAAATTTTGCAAAAGAATTCTAAACAAATTTATGTTATAAATATATTTTAAGTTGTACTTGATCTTAGATAAAATTATAATCATTGTTTTTAATAAATCAGTATCTTCAATGAATGTTTAATTTTGTCATAATTACCAGCAGTTAAATAACATTATTTTTAGAAAATTAATAAAAAAAAATAAAAATTATTCCATTCTATTATAATTTATTAATTTTGAAATATGATATAATGTAATTATAATATTTTCAAAAAATAGTATTAATAATTATTTATAAATTAATTTCTATTAATTATTTTATCGAATTAAACTTATTCATAACCAAGAAGCAAAATAGAAATACTGATAATTTAGATAATTAATTTTTTTTGCAAATATGGTATAAAGTGATAATGTAATATAGATTAATAATTTAAAATATAAATTGCAATATACAGTATCTTTATAATATATTTATACAATATTATTTTGAGATATTCATAAAAAATTATATTATTCATGAATTTTTTTGTATTTATCTTTGATAATTAAAGTCTTAACTTTAATTTTATGAACTTAATTATAACATTGAAAATATATATTATTGTTTATTTAAAATGATACTTAAAAATTATAAATAAGAAATTAAATTTTTATATTCTTTTTATAAATTATATATATAAATATATATATAATATATATAATATCATAAAAATACATAGCATAAATCTTTTATTTTGTTCAATTAATATATAATATATATAACATAATATATAACATAATATATAACAAATATATTACATAAATATAATATTATAATATTGAAAAAAATAAAACATTAAATAATAAGAATAAAACTTTTATATTATATAAAATTGTAATCTTTTTATTTTTTTTTAAGTTCATAAATATTAGAGAATACTATTTACATAACTTGGAAATTTATCATATTTATCAAACAGTACAGAGCGAAATAATTTTAACAAAGACAAATTAACAACAAAAAATAAATTGCATTACATATTTATAGATAATTATTCTTGAAAAATAAAAATAAGACAGTATGAATGTTAATAAAGTTTAATGGAAATAAAAGAAACTAAACAATACTGCTATATTTTGTACATTGCTTACATTTCATATATTGTTTGCCCAAGATTATAGGCTTGTTAAAGTAAA